GGGTACCACTGAATCCTGCAGTTAATAAAGAAAGAACACTGAAAAAGCTTGCTCAAACAACAATCAAGTTGACAAGCAAACATGATTATAGAAGAAAATGTAGGACAAGTTGAGAGTATATCCACTGACTTCACTATTTTTTTTTTTTTAAATACAAAGAAAGCTTTCACAGAAAACTATTGTTTCATTTCCTTTGTAATCGTGTGGGGGAGGCGAGTTGGTAACAACAAAGAAAAGCTTCCTCTTTCACAGCAGCAGTCAGATAAGGAAACAGGGAACAAGTATAAGATATTACTGCCAAAGCCACACATGGCGCAAATTTTGTCTCTTCAGTTTCTGAAGAGATCTCACAGTCTTCCCTAGTGGAACAGATTATCTAATAACGGTTTTATGCAAAGCAACAACTCCAAGTCTTTGCTATTGTTGTCAGGGAAAGCAATGTCTGAACTCATCTAAAGAGACATTTTTATATCAAGGAGAAAGCTTGTGCATGAGGATGCTGGAAAGGGACTCTTCATTAGGGACTGTAGTGATAGCACAAGGGAGAACGGGTTAGAATTTAAACAGAGGAAGTTTAGATTGGATATAAGGAAGAAGTTCTTTACTGTAAGGGTGGTGAGGCACTGGAATGGGTTGCCCAAAGAAGTTGTGAATGCTTCATCCCTGGCAGTGTTCAAGGCCAGGTTGGACAGAGTCTTGGGTGAGATGGTTTAGTGTGAGGCATCCCTGCCCATGGCAGGGGGGGTGGAACTTGATGATCCTAAGGTCCTTTCCAACCCTCACTATTCTATGATTTCTATGATTCTATGAGGTTCTGCCTATTAAACCCATTCGAAAGTGAACTTCTGTCAGGGCTGAAATTACTCTTTATGCCGTTTTCTCACACACCTGGTCAAAAACCAGCAATACAACCTTGTAAAAAACCTGTTCCATATATCCGTTGTTACAAAACACTAGCAAAAAAGACCATAATTTATTTAAAACTATAAATAAATAAAAGCACATGCATAGCATATCCCTTTGTTTTCAATGTCTGAGTCCTTACATTAAGGACTCTGCTAACATAGAATCTATGCATTCCCCTCTTCTATGATACCAAGACTCTTAACATTTCAGTATTTTTACACATTAACAATTTTGTTGAGATTTCCTGACAATATTTTAAATGATTGTTTCAGTAAATGTGAAGAAATGAAAAGTCAGAGGTGGAGTCAATCAGACTTCTCTACAAGAAGGCTGGTGATCCAAAGAATAATTAAATGAAGAGAAACAGCAGCATCAGAGTGATAAAAATCTGCATATTGCCAATTACTAGTGTTTCTGTAACAAATCAAGCTCCCAGACAAGATTACTGGCATCAAGAGACAGCAGCAATTGGCCATAACCTGATGCAGTATCTATAGAATATATTTAGGCTCCTTGCAATGAATGGAAAAATAAGCTGAATCCAACTAAATAAAAAACCTCTTAATTTCAAAATGTTATTCTTAAAAAAAGAAAGCAAAACATCCCTGTCCCCCACCAGTCTTCCAGTTAACAGACTCCTAAAATCCAATGTAGGAGAAAAAGGATTTGAGGAACATTCTATTCAATAAGAGACTAAGAAGTTTTAACAATTTACAGAAAAGCAGCAATAGAAAAGAACATACCTCCAGGGGATAGTGTTTCTTATAATGGTGAGATTTCCTGTTTCGAAGTATACAATCACTAGAAGTGCGGTCTATATTGCGACGTAAAGAATACCCAGTTTCAGGCCCTTCCTCACTAGAAACTTCGTCTGATAAATTTGTCACAGTCCTGTGAGTATCCTAATGCAAGAAATACAGTATTAGTAAGACATATACTTACTAGGTCTTGTCCTCAACAACTGATACAAAAATTTCTTTCTGCAACATTATTATCTATGCTTAGTTAAATCAGATATTAACACATTTCTAAATGTCAGCATTAACTGGTAGAGCAGGAATTCAAAAATAGAAATTTTTACATCAAAATAAACATTCCTCAGATAATGAAGGGCCAGTTCATATCATAGCAAAGAAAAATTCTAACATTCTTATTTTAATGTGATTTTGTCTAAACTGAACCTACCATGAAAGGCTTAGAGGCAACACAGCCCAAAGTCTGGCAGTGGCGCAAACAAAAAAATCCCACCAAAACTGTAATAGCAGACCCTGTAACACTGAATTATCAACACATATAGTACTAAGTTAACGTTTACCTCTTATTCCAAAGACAAAGTGCTACAGATTGCATGCAAAATCCTCAGACCATTAATTTATTCCACTTTCTGTTTCCCTAATTTTAAACTAAAATTAAAGTAGCCCTCACAGTAACAGAAAGAAAAACAGGCTGCAAAGGATCATTCAGCTGTCTAAAAAACTTTTGTATATTCTCATATATTATGAGATCACCGGATAGGACCCTGTAAAGCTTCCTTTGGAGTCTTCCCGTCATCAATGAAATGCTAAAAGGACAAAAATAGTGAAGGTATTCTGTACAACAAATCCTTTCCCCTTCCCTGGCAACATCATTCTCTCTTCCATGATGAACTCTTGTTTTCTGAGATGCTTCAAGGTCAAGTCATTTCACTTTCTTAACAGCTGAGTTACAAAGAGAAAGATGGACAGCAGAACAGTCTGTGGTGTCTTATCTATTATCATGCAGTGGCACCAATGTGTATTGATTGTCTTTGGAGAAAGAGATGACAAGTAAAGAGAGGAGCCTGTGCCAACTTCTCTTTAATGTGGATGCATACTCACGAAGAAAGTTAAACGTAGACAGTATTTCATCCATTGTATCAAACAAACTGAAAACTCTTTTTAAATAAATTCTTATTTTATTCAAATTATTTTCTTATTCTTTTTTCATATCCTTATTTGCTGAATTTCAAGAATGCGAAATGCTTGGAATTTATAAGGACAACTGAACCTCAGTTGCTATCACTGCTGAGAAAGCACCTCCTGCAAAGCAACAGAGTCAACTTTCTGCCCCGAGATGAACCTTCATCACCTTCATTCTGACTTAATCATAGGGATCTTTAAGGGGTTGTTAAATAATTTGGCTATGAAATCCACAAAGGATGCCTTTCCTTTATAAAAATGTCTACTTGTAGACTTCCAGTAGAATAAACTTTCTCTTTGATATTATCATGGAAAAATCCTTGTTATGACTGATCATTGATGGTAATTACCAGTGAAGCAGAGTCAAGTGTAACACTGGCAATATATGTTCAAATGCCAATTTTAAAAGAGCCAGAAAGCATGTTTTGGAAAAGCTATTCCATAGAACAGTAAGATGAAAATAAAATATCCAGGTGATAGTAAGACCCAGATAAACTGAAAGTTCTGTTTTCTTTCATGTCCACTTACTATGCTTCCATCTCATCCCTATTCCTCAGTACAGAGCCCTTCCGACTTCACTGAGAGGGAAATCATGCTTTCCTCATCTTATACAGAAACCAATTCAAAAATGACCTCAAAATTATATATTGTCAGTAATCCAATTTAGTATAGACAGACATTTTAGCATAGACAGATCTGTGCTAAAGAGACAGGCAAAGGTACAGTGTGTATAGCTGATCTGCAAAAAAAAAGAGACAGCACACAAATTTGTGCACTGAAATACAGAATGGCAAAGAATGTTTAGATCCTCCTACAAGAATAAGGAAAGGCTAGGAACCTAAGGATGAAATAAAATAACTTTTGGCCCCAGGGTCCTACACCTAATTTAATTTTAAAAACTTTTTTAAGGGTAAAGTAGATAAGAATGTATCAAAAGCATTGTAAAAATACACCTCACATACTATTTGACAAATTAATAACCCTGCTTTGAAAGCAATGAAGCACACTTACTTTGTGATGACTGTGATTGCTGAAGGCATCTCTCACTGTTGCAGTGCTCCACCCTGACTCTTCTGGCTTAATCACCTCGCACCGACGCTCATGGGCCTGCATACATTCTTCACTGCTTTTACCTGTCTTTTTCCCATCAAGGGACACATACCCATTATCAGTCTCGGTGGATTTATCTATTGAGATTTTTGCTTTCTTAGATCTATATTTGAAACAAATACATATATATTAAATTAATGAGTCTCTCAGTTTTTTCCCCAGTCTAAATCCTCCCTTTTTAGTTTAATTAAGATGACCAAAAACTAACAATATTAACATCTGATGCAATATTTATAACTATTTCATCTTCTATATTATACGCATTATACTTTCCCAAATGTGTTATAAAAGAAACTGTCAGTGTCTGAAAGAAAATTGTATCACTAGCTACTGAAAGAAAAAAGGAAACCTATATGTTAAAACTGAAACTTCACAGCAACTTTAGCAATATTAGAACCACCAGCCTTTAATGTAAACAAGAAACTTCTCTATCTTAACAAAGAGGTATGCTAACGGTTTAAGTGTTATTAATTCAAAGCAAGCAGGCTATTTCCGGAAGCTGCAAACAAACATGCTGTTAGTATTCTGTACACAGACGGTTTTTGTTACTGTTTTAAACACACTCAGCTTATTGATAACTCTACTAAACAGAAGGCATTTAATTCAGTCTTTCCCATATTACCCAGTAACACCCCTGGCAATCAATGTAACTTACAAACACGCTAATTGCGCTTGTTTTCAAATAACAAAATAAGTTTACGAATTATGTTTAAGCATTATTATTCCTAAGACTACTAAGTATTGATGAATAGTCTTCCATAACATTCTCTAGACGTCAAGACCCTCATCTAATCAATAAATGTAGCAGCAAGAATGCCTAATGACAGAAAAAGGCTTTCTCAAAGCAAACATTTGAATGATTATACTTCCAAATTAGGAAGTGCAGCCAATGAAGGAATGCAAAAGAATGGTAGCTTGCTACCTTATTGATAGAGACTACTTTAAGTCTTCACTTAAGTAATTAGTATCCTGTATTCATTAGATTTAGGTTTCTAGGTTCTCAGAACAGTTGGAGGAGGGTGAAGTGTTTTAAATCAAGTTTCCAGGTTTTATTAGAATACTGGACACAGGTCATAAAACCATCAAGAATCTACTCAATTCATCTTGTGCTCCTATTAGGGAATACACGTTGCATTTCTCTTTAAGGAGTGAGGCATTCTGTGAGAGCTTGGGTTACATAGCAGAAGATTAAATTCCTCTTTAACATGTATGTCAAACAAATCAAGAGAACTGGCATAGTCGCCTCACATTCCCCCCAGGATAAGGTATCCCATATAACACAGGGGAGACCTGAACACAGAAAGTGACTAGGGAGAGCTGGATAAAATGGAAAAATCCATTCCCTACATTCTTAGTCAACTTTATTTCTAAATGAGTACAAAACCAGCAGAAACACTCTCTGCAGTTATTATGTATTTGCATAGATTAGTTTTTATTATAAGCTTACAAAGGTAGAGACAGCAAGATGCTTTAGCATGGGCTCTGTGGTGGAGAAGCAGCTAGTAAATCGGTTTGCAGATTACCAAAGGTTATATATGGAGTTCTAATTTTCTAGGTTTATTAAGTAGATGATCTAAAACATTATTGAGGCTTTGGACAAAAAGGTCAAACTATCAACAGAGACATGTTAGAGCTTTATTTCTGTGGCCTTTCACAATGTCATTGTTTAACTAAGCTAATGAAGATAAGACAACTGAAGGAAGCGAAAGCTTAGCTTATTACTTAATGGAAAAATTTGCTGTTCCACTTCTGGAATAAAGCAAGCATCAGCATTTCAGTGGCAACTCATTGTAAAATAGTATGCTTTATTAAGCTCAGTTGTGAGCACTAGGAAGTAGCACTAAAATGAAATTATGTGCAATAAGGTGGAACCCTGAGAGGAATTTTTTTTATGCATTAAATATACTTTTAGAACTGTTAAAAAATTCTTCTTAACAGTGCAAAAGGGAATGCAGGATGTATATACATAGATGTACACATCCAGTCATTACTCCACAAGTTACTTAGCTGTGTAAGTGCAGTAACAGGACAACTATACCACAGTTACTTTGAGAAGTTTTTATGCATTTCACATTAAACTTGAAAGCTGCTAACAAGAACTAGCTTCAAACAGTTGAGTAGGAGCAAGTAAGAGAAAAAAAGAACTTATGCATGTAGATATGTATAATTTGTTTAAATAGGACTTTGCTACTCAAGCAATGTTACTAAAACTGCAAGACAATGACAAGTCTGATATCAACTAAAGCTCACTTTGGAAAACAGGTAACTTGATCAAAGTCTTTTAGTCGTCTCTAACATAGAAACCAGTTATTTTTTAGAAGAATCTCTAAATGTATGTGTAAACCTCAAGCCAGAAAAGCATACATTCCCACTTATCATTAGGGTGCACTACACTGATAAAAGAAAAAAAATAAACATGAACAATACCTCCCAAGCTGATAGAAATACATAGTTTCCAGAATTACTATATAGATATATATCATTAATCAACTTTTAAAATTTCATGCTAGAATTCAAAGTATTTAAGAGTAAGACAGGACAACACAATGAATACAGCCAAAGCCTTAAAAAAGCATGAACACATGCAAAAGCTAACTCATGAATGACTTTCTGTCTTAACCATGCATCACCTACAGAAAATGTTAAGGAAAATGGACCTTTCCAACCCTAAGTATTCTATGATACTATGTAAATCATATTTCTCCAAGACTGTAGATTTTCACTGTTAAGTATTCTATTCCTATGTATTTTAATTGGAGCTGGTAAAAAAAACCCAAACCTCCTCCCTGTTCATGATGTAAAACTTTTAAAGAAGTTACAATTGTAAGATTTCCGTAACTAGAGAAAGGACACATTTGATCCAAGTCCCACATCAGTGCTACATTCTGAATAAATTACCTATTTGGATATTGACATCTTTTCCAGTGAAATTGATAATTAGTATTTCTAAATCGGCTCTGTGATGGATTGAAGTTTAGAATTCTATTTTATCAGTCAGACTGAGTTTTGCCATTCAAAAGGTTATTTACTGAATACACAGTTCCAGGTTACCAATGACCTGAATGTAGACAAATGGTCTAAGTACACAGGGTCCGGCCCTAAAGCAAAGAAGACGATTTGAGGAGAATTTTGGAACGATGCATTTAAGACCTATATTTAAAACTCCACAAAATGGTATATCAAAGCTTAATACATGTGGAAAACTGCTGTAAATAAGCACTACTGAGCCATTCTAATGCCCTTATCTAGAGTTTCAAAACACGTCTTAAGAAACAGGAGAGATCTCACTAAACAGCTTGCTTGCAGTGAGGTTTCATACGATTTCTTCAGCAACATCACCAAGTAAAATACACACACACACACAACCTCTCATTAAATGGTTTAAACAAGTCCTTAGAGCAAGTCCCACTGAACACTTCTCAAACGAAAACACTCTGAGCTCAACACCTGGGAAGGTAAGGGAAAAAAAAAACCCTAAATGAATCTTCCAACAGTCCTCTTCTTACTGCACATAAGCATCTTCCACAAGTGAAAGCACTCAAAAATGTACAAGATTACACTCCAAGCGCAGCAGAAAGTAATGCACACAGCCCAAAGAACAGCAGCAGTTATCTGTCACTGTGACTCATAGTTTGTCAAAGCCAGCTTCATCTTACACAGACAAAAGCCAGAACTCTGCTCTTGCAATATTTTTAAACATTTTGAAAACTTCTCTAGGGTTTCAACTAGACATTCCCAGAATGTAACATCACATAAGGTAAGCTTTGCCAGTGGTTAAGAGCACATATCACAAGTACGACAGACATGTTAGTGTTGCCTTACTTAAGATGCAGCATGCACAACAAAACATCAATGACATAACTTGCAGTATCTCTTTTCTCAATTTCCTACTATTCTATGAGCATGTTTTCTCATGCTAATAAATGCTGATCTATAGCACTCACAATGCTGTGTGTACCTTAAACACAGAGTGCTACAGAATGTGTTTTTAACTTTTAACTGCCTGGAGCACTACATTATCAGATCAATCACTTGCAAAACAGCTCTGGAATGTAACAGGGTTAGTTGCTTCTTCCAATCATTAGAAAATGCATCTTCAATGTTTATTTATAAACTAAGCACTGTGCTTATTTGAATCCTGAAGGCTTTTCCCTCACAAAAAGCACATTATTTGATGACAGTGACAGAATTCAAAAAGCATTGTCAGAGTAATAAGCAGGCAATGTAATAAAGAAAAATTACAGTCAAATTTTCTTATTTGATTAAAATTGAGAAACTGAGTCAGTTTGTTCCTGAGAGCTCACAGAGTATTCCTACATCAACATATAATTGCATCAGCATTTACAAAAGTCAAGAAACAACACATTAGTACATGTTCAAATACTGAGATGAGTTTACTATTAGAGAAAAACTAGATCAACAAAAGTTTAATTATTACATCAATGTTTACTTATTTAGAAAAGGGATAATGCATCTCTAACACATATGTAGCCTTGAATAAATACAAACCCTGATAAAAAGAAAGCAGCATGCCAGATATCTCTGAAGACAGCGCCAATACTGCAAGAGGTGCTTGTACCGTAGCTCTGCACTGTTCCCTCCTGTGTGTTATCTGTGGTACTAGAGCCATCTCCTTCCCTATGTACTTCCAAATGTGCTGCTTTCCTTAATTTCCTTCATCAGAAGAGATCAAAATTGAAGGTAGCTTTGTAAGTGCAATCTACCAATTCTATAACGTGTGCAGCAGTTCAAGCATGCAAAAACAAGCAAGATTTCAAAATATTTTACTAAAGCTTTATCATACCAATTTAATAAACTCCATTTAATAAAACTTAACCTGAACAACCTAACATTCATTATTGTAACACTTAAACCCAAAATGTATTTCATCTCACCATCACAGGCTTAGACCTGCAAAGTTCACTACTGCAGGTTTTCCCATTTTAATGGGACAATTCACTGTAGAGCCATACTCAGTGAAGTGCAGGAAGACATTCTACAGTTCCAGTAGCATCCCCTTTAATGTATGTACGTTTCCCACAAAGATCATGAGTAGTAGTGCATGGAGCTCTAAAACTAAACTTGCATCAATGTAAATACTGTCACTCTACCACTATTCAGACAAAGTGTTTGAGGCAAAATGTCATATTCAATGCATTAAAATTCTAATAAAACAATGCATAAATTAGTCAATGCACAGAAGTTAAAGAGCATCAGTTAAGAACTCTGATAAAAAGAGCACCAATTTCTCATCTCTTGCAAAGCAGAGACTGTAAATCCCTACATTTTTTCATGCACGTTCTTCAGAATATTTAACAATCCTAAATAAGTACTAGAACATAGACTATACCTTCTTCTTTTACCCCCTGTGCTGAGGGGTGGCTTAGGAGTTCGTGTTGAAACAATCTGACAATGCACAGTTCCAAGTAGCAACATTAGCCATATTGGCCCAATTACTTCAGTCAGAGGTATATTATGTGGGCTTTGGGCTGTATAGAATAACACTACAGCAGCAACTGGAAAAGAAGGGAAATGAAGTTGAGTTCAATTATTTGCAAGGTTTGAAATGGCCAACTCATTACATGGCTTTTGTTAAAAAGACAAACATTCAGATCTAGTCCTTTACCTGGATTTTAAACCAACCCATGTAATTCTGAGAGGAAGGGATTATAATTGCAATGAAATAGGCAGTAATAAAGATTTAAATAGTCACCTACAGACTTAATATCCATCTCTTCTTTTACATTTATGTAAAAGCTACTGCTCAAGAAAAAGGTGTCAGAATGAAGTAAGGTAGGGAAGCATTTGGAAAGCTTGATGTGTCATGAAACTTTAAATGAAGATGAAGCTTCAGTCGGGGACAAAACCAAAAAGTAAATGTTATCCTTAAAGCAGCCCAAGTAAATTTACTTCTGTATCGCCTATAATGATGCACTGTATGACTACCCAAATGAGAAGCAGGTTGGCCAGATAGGTCAAAGTCTCTCCATCCTTGGAGATATTAAAACCCTGACTGGACACAGCCCCAAGCAACCTGTTCTAGGTAACTCTGCTTTGAGCAGGGTTCAGACTATCTCCAGAGGTCCATGACAACCTCAACCAGCCTCTGATTCTGTGAGCCATATGTCTATTTTGATACTGCAAGGACCAACAGACTTGAGACCAGAAACTCTTTATATTCTCTAGCAGAATGCATTTTAAACTCCATATTCCAGTCCAAGGACAAAGTTGCCCATATGGATAGACACATGCGTAAGTGCAAGTCTACAGAGATTTCATATATACTTATATTATATAGCAATGTGGAGAGAACAGAGACAAACCATGTAAACTATGAGCTGGTTCAGCTGAAATGACCAAGACTAACTAGCACTTGTAATTGGAAAAGGGGTATCTTCCAATTCCATAGTTAACTGTTATTTTAGTAACCCTATAACCAGGTAACTCTTATTGCTCCTGTACCCAGAGCCCAACCACTTCCGTGACTTCTGCAACTCAGAAATGTCTTTACAGGCTTCAAGTCAGTCTGAACACACTGAACAGACATGAGGCAGAAAGAAGAGGCAACTCCTCTGTTTTCTCTACTTATTGTATGCTCTTGCTGCTCTGCCTCTATAGCTTGAAGTGCCATGTTTTGTAACTCAGCTGAGAGAAGGTATCAAGAAAGCAGATACAGAAACTCCAAGAAACAATTCAGAAAGAGAACAGGGGGATAATTCTCTGTGCCTAACATCTGCATGTCCCATGAGAACCTGGTTTTGCTCTTGTACCACTAAAGTGAGAGTCCCGTAACTTAGACCTGCTCCTAGGACAAAAATACCTGGTACAAGTTCAACAGTTTTCACCAGTTCTTTACTGAAATCAACTGAAAAAAATACAGGCACATGCAAATTTATATGCCACATTCAAACACCTAAAATGTATCACACGAAGCCACACCTAAACCAGCAGATATCTCTGATGCAATGTTTTCCATAAAGAGATCAGCCGTGGTTTTCATGAAATAGTTTTTAGCAAGGTAACCAGTATTAGAAACATGATGGAATTATTTTTGGTTGTGGTAATCTATTTCTAATTTCCCATCAGTCTTTTTCCTAACTCAGAAGTCTTACACAGAACACATACGGTATCTTTTATTACTATATATGGACTAAATTTTTGCATTATGATGTTTCTCAGGAAGATGGCACACATCAATCAGAAATCCAGCTTATTAAAAAATATAGGTACAGGTAGTAAAAGATAATCACAGATAATATCACCTCTTCCTAAATGAGCTTATCTGAGTTTCTCATACATACAATAAGATCCATGAAGTATAAAGTGTAGTAGTATAATGTATAAGTAGCCAATTTTGACTCCTATCATACAATTTGGATAAACATGTACTTCTGAGAACACAAAGCTCCAAATATCCATGTGAAATGATTAGCAGGAGTAGGCCTCCACAAAACAATTTCAAACTTCACTACAAGATGACTACTACTACGTAAAATACATTTATACAAGAAGAGTAACCTGGAAGAAATCATAGTCTTCCAGAAGATGCAAATCTGTAGACTACAGATTCCCACCATGGAGTTTCACACAGATTTAAGAAAATATTATGGACCTCCTGATGTTTTCAGTAGGATAGGAAGAAAATCCAAGAACTTCTTCCTGCAGTGAGCTAATACGCTGTGGTTCAGATTATCCTAGAATTGCTCCTACCAATATAGCTAGGCCTCAGAACAGAATTTCTCACACCACTTTTAATAATTTCTTTACTTTTTATAGGATTTGGACTTGTATTTTTCTAAATTGCAGTGGTTTATTTTGTGAAACAAACACAGATTATATCTCAAACAGCAAAAAGCTGCATCAAAGAAAACAGCTGTACATTTAAACCACCAACAAGCATTTATTTTTATAGCATTTAAAGCTTTGAAATATTTGTATTACCAAGTATCTCACCACAATAAACAATTATTCTATCACTATTAAAGTTTCTTGTTTCATGTTTAAGAAACGTACAACTGAGATACACACTAGAATGTAATACTTCATTTTCTTGTTAGAATATAGAAACATTTTTAAAGTAAAAATGATGCAGTGCTATAAACTAAACCAATAAGGACTCAAAAGAAAAAGGTTTTACTTCTACCTTAATTCATGGCCTGTTCCATGACCTTGGATAAAAAAAACATTTCTCTGCAGTTCTCTTATCACACATTTTGCTAACCACACTTTATACTAAAGGAAACCAATATAAATACAACCTGGAATTTAAATCCACAGCCAAGGAAAGAATTCTTTCCTGCAGACTTACATAAACGCTAGCAGGTATGCTGCTAAAGCTAACTGATTTCAAAGCAATAATTCCAACAGTACAGGATACAACAGTATCA